GTCTTGGCCATCGGCTCTCGGCGGCTTTGCGCGCCCGTACCGTCTGTGCATGCATCCGCTCGCATGTGCTCCGCCGTCCCGTGCGCATCAAGGCACGATGCGCCACTTACGCATATTTGCTCCCCTAATTTATTAGCCTCCAAGTGCTAACCTCCACTTCCGTATCAGCGCGGCTCGCCGCATTCTTCAGTCTTCTTGTCGTGTTCTCATCATTCCCGTCCCCTTCAAGTGCTTCTTTGTCCTCAAGGATGAAGTCGGGAAATCTTTCGCGCATCTCGTCCTAACTTTCCCAAGGTGCCTCTTCACTCGGCAAATCTTTCCATTCGATGAGCACTTCCTAAAAATATTTTTCGGCCCTTTTGATTTGCCGGTACTCGACCGCGCGATCCGGCCGGACCACAACTTGTCCTTCCGGCGTGACCGCGGGTAGCCTATCCCTCAACGAATGTGTCTCGCCAAGACTTCGCTTGAGTTGCGAAACATGTATGACCGGATGTATGTGAGAATCGTCCGGCAACTCAAGTCGATAAGCAACCTTCCCGACCTTGGCCAAAATTTTATAAGGCCCATAGTATCGAACCCCAAGTTTGGTCGCGGCCCTTTGTGCGGTCGTTCATTGCCGAAATGGCCTCAGTTTCAAGAACACCAAGTCCCCGGGCTCGAACTCCTCATCGCGCCTCTTTCCATCGTGATACGCCTTCATCTGATTGATCGAGCCCTCAAGTGTTTCCTTAAGCTCGCGTAACATCAAGTCGCGCTCGACCAACTCCCGATCCACCTCATCGTTTACTGCGCTTCCCATCGAATAACTGACGATTGTGGGAGGTTTGCGCTCGTACACAAGCTCGAACGGCGTCGCCTTGGTCGAGCTATGGTAAGTGGTGTTGTACCAATACTCGGCCCAAGGCAAGTAACTCTCCCACCTTTTTGGAAATTGATGCACGTAACACCTAAGATATTGCTCGAGCGTGCGATTGGTCACCTCCGTTTGACCGTCAGTTTGCGGATGATAGGCCGAGCTCATGGAAAGCTCGGTCCCTTGCAATTTGAAAAATTCCGTCCACAAGCTACTCATAAAAATTCGGTCACGATCGGACACAATGGAGCGCGGCACTCCATGTAGCTTCATTACGTACTCAAAAAATAACCTTGCAATTGACTTAGCCGTGTATGGGTGCGTGAGAGGAATAAAATGCGCATACTTGGTAAGGCGATCGACGACC